AGTGCGGCGCAGGGCTCTCAAACAGCCCCGCCGTACTCCGCGCCACATGTGACCCACGGGTCAGGCTTCGGATCTGGGACGTAGGTCATACAAGCGTTCAAGTTATCCAAGCCACCCGCTTGCTGGTGCTGTTCTTGTGGCCAGACTTTTACTTCAAGCGCGGCGGCCGCACTGTTCTCATCGCCGCCTCGTGCTTTGCGGCCTTGGCCGGGACTTTGGTGCCTGCGCTGCTGGCGCCGGCCCCGGCCTTGTCGCTGGGCAGTGCGGCGTATGCAAGCGGGCTGAAGAGCTACTCCGCATTCGTGTACTACGTGTGGCGGGCGGCAACCGTACAGCGGGTAGGTAGCGGCGGCCGCAGGTCCGGGTAGCAGCAGGGTGAGTGTAACCTGCTGAGCAGGTTTGCGTGCAGTACGTCCTGCACCGTGCATGACTCGTCACAGCTACATACATAACGGTAGTTGTTGTTACCGTTGACGGGGGGCTATGAGGCCTAGCAGCTGTCACGAATTCGAGGTCAGTAAAAGTAGACACCAACGTTCTAAAACCCTGCTGCTTGCAGCTGCCCACGCGTGTCCAAGCTTGCGTGGGAGCTGCCGTCTGGCTATTAAGCGTCGTCCTCTCGGAGCTTCTCGACCGGCGCCTGCTGCCCGAGGGCGACCCGCGGGTCGCACATGGCCGCGTGGCGCATGCCGCGAGACTGTTCGTTTTACTTGCCATACTGCCATGCGGCACCTCCTACGCCTGGGAGGTCTTCCAGCGTCAGCGCGACGTTAGCGCGGATGCACCTTCCGCCGTGTCATCAGAGCCAGCTCTGCATCGTTCCCAGGCCGACAAGGGTGCCGTCGCTGCTGGCGGCAGCGGCAGCTGCAGCGGCAGCGGGACCGTCCTCGGCCGTGGTTTGGAGGAGCGCGGGGACCGTAACGAACGAACTCGTACTGGACGCACCGAAACCGTAGACACAGCAGCAGCGCGTGAAGCGTCCCCCGCGTCTTCCCAGTCAGCTGCCAGCACGAATGAGGTCAGTCTTCCCGCCGTCGCCCAGCACCAGGCTGCTCCCAACACCCGCGCCTCCGCAGCGGCCCCTAGCTGCCTCTACCGCTCCCGACGCCAGCTCACGCCGCGGGCGCTCAAGGCCTCTTTCCCGATCTCCGCCCCCTTCAGAAGCCGCCCCTGGGGCAGGGCGGAGTTTGAGGCGGCCGCTCGGGCTCTGCTGATCCAGATGGATGAGAGACTGCGGGAGGCGGCGGCAGCCGCGACGGCATCAGGGCAGGTGGCTCCAGCGTACCTGTCAGCCGTCTGCGTCCCAGGCTGTGTGCAGCTGCTGCTGGCGCTGTCTTTTGAGGCAGCAGATGGGGCAGAGGCGGAGGCGGAGGCATATTGGTGGCGGCGGCCGCAGCCGTTGCATCTGGGCGTTAGAGCTGGAATCAGGGGAGGGCAGGCCGACTGGAAGGCGCAAGTAGATGCCGCTTTGCAGGAGCTGCTGCGGCCGCCACCATACGGGAGCCTTCGCAGCGCCGCTCTGACGGCCCACGGCGGTGGCGGTGGCGACCACTCCGAGCGCATCGATACAGGGCGGCGGTCCAATGCCACAGATGACCTCGTGCCGGCGCCTGCAGACCAGCTGATCACGTCATGGCAGCAGTGCCCGGGAGCTGACACCGGATCCGCACTGCTGTGGCCCCCGGCTGTTGAGCAACGGGGTAGGCAGGTGCCCCTGACGGCAGGGCAAGCAGGGACGCAGGTGCCACTGCTAGTGCTGCTGCACCACCGGCAGCTGCTGGGGGGCAGCGGAGCGCTGCGCCTCGTGGTGGTTGGACCCATGGGTCACGTGGGGCTGGATAGGGTGATTCATGTGGGCTTGCCTCAGGTGCTGCCCGAGGGCCCGCCGCCAGTGGCTCCAGCCGTTGCAGTACATGCAGCAGCAGCAGCAGCAGCAGCAGCGGGACACGGAGGCTACGAAGTCATCAGGCAAGCCTTGCGTTTGCAAGGTTTTGGTGAGACGCTTGCAAAATTAGCCGCTGCTAGAAAAGCCATTCAAAAGCTATACAGAAGGTATAGCTTGCGGGCCCCAGGCGGCAAATAGCAGACACTTTGCTGCTTTCGTATGTTCGCTTTTGTAGTGTTAATAGGACCGAAGAGCTTTTCCCCCCTTTTGTCCTCGAAGAAAGGACGGCCCTAGCGTTCTGTATGCTCGGTATACCCATCCCTTTCCCGCTCAGGTTGTTGGTCCCCGGCGGCTGGCTAGCGGCGAGTGCGGGTCTGGCGCTGGTGCATGTGCTGGCGGAGGCAGGTGACGGCGGAGGCGCGGGAGAGGAGGGCAGCTGCTGGAGTGCAGGCGAGGCAGAGGGCGGCGGAGGCAGGGGTGAAGAGGGCACGACAGACCAGGGCACACCGGCGGCTGTCGCACCTCCAGCAGCTGGGGCGGCTGCGCAGCCCCCCACGTCCCCCCGACTCCTGGCCACCCTGCCGCTGCTGGTCCTACCGGAGGCGGCTGTGGCGGCGGAGGTACTAGACCTGTACGGCAGGCTCCTAGCCGGCTGCCTGCAGCGGCAACCTGGGAGCGGCAGCGGCACGTCTGGTCCCCTAGCAGCCCCAGCGGGCGATGCGGCTGCTGCTGCCGTGCGTGTCGTACAGGCGCTTGACGAGCTGCGAGGCGAGGTGGCGAGTCCGAGTGAGGTCGACGTACGGCAGGGCAGAGAAGCCGCCGTCGCCCTGCAGCCCACAGCAGGTGCGGACTTTGGCGCCGCCTGTGCCGCATATGAGCTGGGTCTGCATGCCCTGTTGGTCGACTTGGGTACAGTCCTGAACCTGCAGCACCAGGGGCCTGCACAAGCTGCTTCCTTCTGTCTGCCAGATGCGCACGCTTCAGCTGCTTCGCCTTGGAAGCCGGTACAGTCACAGGACGCAGCAACCTGGTTTCTTAGCATGTCCGGCCCCGGCCCCCAGCCTCCTCCCGCCGCGGGTGTGTTGTCCCAGGTGGCTCCTCCGCTGCTGTCCTACCTGGAGCATCAGGGCATGGCGGCGGTGCGGGACGTCTGCCGTACGGCACTGCAGGGGGCAGCGGGTGCGGGGGGGGCCGGCGGCGGGAGTGGTGGAGGCGGGGGCAGGGGCGGCGGCGTGCAGAGCAGGCCTACCGGTACCTTGCAGCAACAGCAGCAGCAGCAGCAGCAGACGGCGGAACAGCAGACGGCGGAGGAGGAAAGCGGCGCAGGCAGCTCGACTAGCAGCAGCTTCCCGAGCAAGTTGCGCCCCGCACTGACCTCTTCCTCTTCAGCACCAGCAGCCACCTGCATCACACCAGGTCTCGCTGCCTGCCCCTCTGCCGTGCCCTCCCCTGACGCCGCCGCCCAAGCACAGGCCGCCTACCGGGCCTTTAAGCGCCTCCACGCGCGGCGAGTGGAGCTGGCGGGATTGGCTCTGCTGCTGCTGCTGTTTCAGGCCTTCCTGGGGGTGCACATCGAATACGACGGCATGCAGTTTCGTACGGCCGCTGATGCCATTGGACGGGGGGCGGGACCCCAAGGCACTGCGGACAAGTGCGGCATGGGCACTGACGGCAGCAGGTATGGCAGCAGCAGTTGCCGGAGGCAGCCAGTTGGGGACATCGCGGCCCATGCGCTGCTAGCGCTGGCGTCTGCCCTGAATGTGCTGCAACATCTGCTGCGAGCACCCACTGCTTACAGGTAGCGTCGGCGTGAAGCCCCATTCCTTGCTAGCCGTGAGACAAGGGTACATTCAGTTTCCCGAGTACATGTGCCTCTTGACGCTAGGGGGTGTACGCTTACCGCATGACTGTCAGTTGCAGTGCTACGTGGCACATGTACTGCCTGTGATCATTTACTTGATGTAGCTTGTGCACACGACGCTTACCGCCCGTCTCCCTGCTGCAGGCGGCGGTTTGTCGTTCCCATGTATGCTTTGGAGGCGCTGCTATGCGGTGCTTTCCTCCTGCAAGTACCCGCCGTGCCGCTGAGTGGGCTGCCGCTGGACTACCTGTACCTGTACCCGCTTCGCCTGATCCTGCCGCGCACCTGGCACAAGCCCATGACGAGTACGGGCATGCACTCCATGTATCGCTCATGTTGTCTGTGATCTTGCCTGTGGGTAAGGTGCGTTAGCTGCTCGCACAGTAGCAGCCAGGCTTGAGCCGTCACAATTGATATCAGCTTGTTGACCAAAACGAAGCGACGCTGTGACATGCGCGCTTGGGACCTACCGCTATGCAGATTCAGTGATGACCGGTTTTGGCACCTGAGCTGCCAGTTGCCAGCCCCCGACGGCTCCCCTCCCTCCTGCTCCCTATTCTCATCAGGTACCTGCCCCCGCTCGCATCGCTGGTCATGGCATCGTCAGGTGCCATGGCCCCCGCTGGTGGCGAGTAAGTGCGCAGGACGGTTGGGCCGGCGGAGTTGAGTGCGGAGTAGTTTCCTTGGTGTGGGTGTTTTGTCATCGCTGGTTACTGTGCACACATACTGTTTGAATGCGGCCACCCATGGGTCTCTAGGTGCATGCAGACCGTATAGCTGCGCCTGTATGTCAGTATGTGGGATGGGTTTCATTCAAAACAATTTTGTACACATTCTCATGTCGTCCAGGGCCTGACCTCAATAAAATGTTGTTGCTGAAGGTTGTTCGCCTACACGGCGAGGCTCTTGTTGTGCATACCCAGAAGAATGAGCTACGACGATTAAACTTACGTTGATACATGGCTAGCGTGATTGCGTGGCTCGAGCTAACAACCAACAGTCATTTCGACTACGCCTTCCGCAGTGATGTAGCTGCATGCTAAATCAACAGCATAATCGTTAGCGTGCAAGCTTTGGTCGCATAGCGTCATTGCAATAAGCTGAAGCGGAAGGAAAACACTGAAGTGCTTGGGAGGTGAAGAGACATAAAACGTATTGGGAACAGACCCGGACCCATGGGTCACTATGTACATATTGCTTAATGAACAGCACAGGTACAGATCTTGCGGAATTGCCTGGTTATACAGTTGTGTGGTCTTTGGAGTTGAGGAGTTGCACGTTTCCGCGCCAACGATGAGGGGGGTTGTGCTCCGCTCTCGGTTTGGCGGGTAGCCCATGCGCAGGGGCTACAAGTCCTGCAGCAATGTCGCCCGTTTCCACTTTAAAGTTCTCCGCCTTCCATCGCCGTCTGGCGCGGGGTCCCTATTCGTGATTAACTGCGAGAATATGTTGGCGCATAGAACTCACAGACTTCGAGCATCCTACCGCCACGCATTGTCCAAATAAGGAATCACAGACCAAGCTGCAGCACTTCCCAAAAATTAAGCAGCAATGCACCTCGGCCAACCTGCAGATGAGCAACAACCTTTTATTCTCAAAGCGGACGCATTTTGGTAAATACAAACCCAGCAGACAGGAGAAAGGACATGCGTTATCATCCTTACGCAATCGGGTTCCAGGGCTGATATAGGCCAGTAGAGCGCCGATAACAAAACCAAAATTGCCCCCACAATACTTTAACCTACCCTTCTAACCCTGCGCTCCCCTAGACCAACTACTATCGCAGCTTTGGCGTGGCTGCTGATCCACCCGTCGCCGCTGAAGGCACAGGTGGCAACGCGACCAGGCAGTCCGCAGGCAGCTGCGTGACCCAGCCTTTACGTCGCAGCAGCGCCAGCATGTCCGCCAGCAGGGGCATGGACGCCAGCGTGGCGGCCGACCCCACCAGCAGCAGCTTGGTGCGCGCGCGCGTGATGGCCACGTTCAGCCGCTGCCAGTCCGCCAGCAGTCGCCCGGCGTTGTGCGCGGGGTTGCAGCGCACAAAGGACAGCATGATGGCTGACTTGTCGCGCCCCTGGTACTTGTCAACCGTCAGCACCTCGACGGACCGGCTCTCAGTGCCGCCAGCTGGCTGGCTGCCGGCTCCCGTGCTCCCATCGGCAGGCAAGGCCGCCGCTTGAGACAGCCCCGCCAGGGCTTGCTGCAGCGCCGCCACCTGCGCCTTGTAGGGCGACGCCACGCCTATCTCGATTGGCGGCAAGCCTGCTGCCACGAGTGCACAAGCAAGGGCGTGCACCAGGCGCACTTCCCCGGGGTTGCTCATGCCGTCCTGCAGCGCGAGCTCGCGGCAGCCGGCCACGCTGTCCGTGTCCAGGAAGACGACGCGAGACTCCGGCTGCAGTGCGGCCAGCAGCCAGCCAGGTACTGGCAGCCCGGGGGGCCAGGCAGAGGAGCCGGAAGCTGTGAGGCTCTTGTGCACGGGTGAGGACCTGTACCCGGCGAGCTTGCTGAGGCCCGGCAGGTTGATCATAGCCGTCGCAACGCGGTCGCTGCCGCACAGCATGCGGCCGTTGTAGACCAGCTCGTTGCTCAGGGCCATGATGTCGGCCGCCATGCGGTACTGGCTGCGCAGCGTGACGACGGCCTGCATGGTTGGCAGGAACGGAGCGAAGAGGAACATTGACTCAGCACACGTAGAAGCATGTAAGCAGCGTTTGTCACACCAGCCGCATGTGGTTGTCGCACGACATTGAGCGTTCCATGCAAGAAAGCGATCCCTGCATCGCTATTATCACTGTTTGCTAGGTATAACCCAAAGCAATCATGCCTTGCATACCTGGGGGTGCGCTTCAGAGAGGCGACGGAAGAGGCTGACCCCAAGCCCGCCCTGCGAAGCCTCCCTGCTAACTACCAGCGGGCTGAGCTGGTAGTGGTCTCCCACCAACAGAAAGGACTTGGCAAGCGCCAGAGCGCCGATGCTTGAGGGCAGGGTGACCTGGCTGGCCTCGTCCAGGATGCAGACGCCAAACGTGCGGCCAGCTAGTAGTGGGTTGTGCACAGATAGGCAGGTGCAGCCCACCTGCGGGCATAGGACAGGTCCGTGTTCAGCAAGGGTGTTCCGTATTGAGCCCGAACTAGGACTCTGTCAGCGTCATGTGGATCACTGAGCCAGTGCTTGCTGCGGGACTGCTAGACTAGCGCTCGGTGTGTCACCTCAATGTCACCCGGTGGATACAAACAACATGCGTCGAGTCACATCTTGAGGCACATGACCTTACAAGCGACTTACCACGTTCACGCGGCCCATCAGCTCTTGCAGCCCCGCCGTGGAGGTGTCCGGATGGTGCGCCCCACCGGGCATGTAGCCGCGCACGCCCGGGTGCACTGACTGGGCTGACCCGATGCGCACAAAGGAAACCGGTGTGCCAATCAGCTTCAGGAGGATGTTATCCACAGCGCTGTTGGTGTAGGATGCAACCAGGATGCGCACGCGCGCCTCCACCAGCGCCTGCGTGAGGGAAGGGGGGGCCGCGTACCGGGCACATGGCACGTTAACCCCGCCGCACGGCTCCACAAGACAGCATGTGCTGCAGGGTAGGGGTTGCAGCGGCTCAGGATCTTACCCGGATTACGTGCACGATGGTCGTCGTCTTTCCCGTGCCCGGCATCCCGAGAAGGATGGCGTAGTCCTGCATGGCCAAGACGCGCTGCACGGCCTCCAGCTGCTCGCCGTTCATCTCGTGGGCATGCTCACGGAGGTAAGGGTTGGCCTGCAGCTGGCTGCTCGCCAGAGACGCTGCGGGGGTGATGCATGGAATAAAAGGAAGGCTAGAGTCACAGCAACAGCCGGAAAGCATAAATATGACTAAGCGCCCAGGCTAGCAGTGGAGCACAGCAAGGCAGTCTGTACTCCATATTGCTGTATGTCTGCAACCCAACCGTTAGCTGAACTCAGCCTTACCGGACAGCTGTGAGCTTGCGCCAAGGGTGTTGTGCGCCAGGCCCTGCTGCGGCGACGCCAACTCGATCACCAGCTTCCGCAGCTGCATCAGATGGCCCTCACGGCGCGCCTGGGACGCGTCGCAGCCGCCACCTTTGCGACCGCCGGCCCCACCTCCTTGCCAGCCCGCTCCCGCTCCAGGGACACACAGCAAGCTCAGGTTAAGCCGCATCTGCGCAAACACGGACGCGGCCTCGTCCCTATCGAGGCGCCAAGTCACCCGCTGCACGACACCGCTGCACCGACAGCAGGTCGTTGCAGACGCGGATATCGCCACAGCGCCGCAGCTCTGGCATTGAGGTTGCCGCGTATCACCGAGCTTGGCGAACTTGATCTCCTTCTTGGAGGTCAAGGTTATGGTGTCCTACATGTACAAGCGGGACCAGGTCGAACATGCGTCCATTGTACCAGAGGTACGAGCACGGACACACGGACGTTTCGGGTTCGGCATGGTTGCAACAAAGCACCACTCCCCAGGGCCCGATCCCACCTTAGTCACATCGGCTACGCTGACGCGAGCAGCTGCGGCATGCCGGCCCTCCAGCCCAAGCACTCCTAGATCCCCTGGGGCAAACCCCGCAGAGAGCAAGCCCCCGTCCTGCGCCTCGGACTGCACAGCAGCGGCATCCGCTTCTGTAGCACCAACCGGAGCAGAAGATGGCGCCGACATGCGCCGGAAGACGTAGCGATAGCGTGCGCCTTCGGCAGCACGCTCATCCAGCCCGTCCTTCTCAAGCACCAAGCGAGCTATGCAGCCGCCCTGACGCTCCCGTTGGGGCCCGCTAATGGCCCACAGCTGCACGGGGTTGGTAACGTTGGGCAACTGGTCAGGGTGCTACTCATCTGACTATTTGTCTTGCGTGCATGTCATTGGTAGGGTGCCGTACAGCACCCTACAAAGAGACAAATACGCATTGGTCATTGGTAAGGTACGGCACCCCAGGACACGTTATGAGAGGGAGAACAGCTCTTCATGGCATGGATACCATGGTATGAATACCATGCACGGCACTTACGTCTGCTTTGCCGGACCGAGCCGCCGCCTCCTCCAGGTCCACCAGCCGTATCCATTGGGAGAAGAAGGCCGCACAGGATGGCGAAACCGTCGAAAGCTTTTCCCGGAGGGCTGGATGCAAGTCCACGTTTGCAAGATCGGCTTGGGCATTATCACTGCCGTGCGCTGCGGCTGCGAGGTACAGCGCACACGTGGAGCTGACACTGCAGTAGTTGCACTTGCGGTCGGCTTCCGAGCCCTGCAGCGGTGGCGGGGGGTCTCTCGCTGCGTCCACGAGGTAGGCCGCCAGGCGGTTGCGGTGCATGACGAGCGCTGCGAGCTCGTGATGGGCGTACTTGACGGCCTGCATGGTGGGCTTCTGCTGGTTCCATAGCAGCCCCGTGCGTACGGCGGCCTGGTAGCGGTCCTCCATCAGCAGCAAGTATAAGAGCACCTGCGGCGATTGGTGTAAAGCCAGTAAAGTAGTGTAAAGCCGCAACGTAAGCGGTGGGGCTCAGGCTGCATGCATGCATATACACCGCCAGTGAGCAAAATAATGCTGCTGGCGCAACAAAGTACGAGTACGGAGATGTTTGCTCACACCTGTGCCCGGTGCTCTGGCCAGTCTTTCCCAGTCTTGTATTCGAATGGCGCTACCACCGTCTCGCTTGTCACTCCAGGCTGCTGCATCTGCGGCGTGTTGTACGCCTGCCCCACCGGCTGCGTCATCGCCGCCTGCCTGCCGGGGCCGTCAGACCAGCTTTGCTGCGGCCCATGACCTTGACCCTGCTGCTGCCAGCGTTGCGCCGCACCGGATTGCGGGGTGGTGTAGACCCCCGTGTTGGAACCGTGATGCTGCTGTGGCCCGTGCGGACGTGCTGACCCATGTTGCCCTCCCAGCTCAAACAATCCCTTCTGCTGCTGCACCCGGTGCTGTTGCTGAGTGCTCGCGTAGCCACCGGTGAGGGTGCGCTGGTTGTGCAACGGGTCTTTGTTGCTCAGCGTCACGAGCAACGAGGCATCCAGCTGACCCTTCAAGCCGTACTTGGGCGCCCAAATGCTCTCTTCGATGTCGAGCACCTCCGTGACGCGGCAGAAGGTGGGCATGTCGCTGTTACCGGCTTCAACACGGCCGCCGAGCGCGGAAGCAGGCCCAGGTGTGACGTACGAGTTGCACCAGGCAATGATACCGTCCAGCTGCTGGGAAAAGTATGTTAGCACGGAAGCCTCGTCCCGGTCAACCTCCAGGAGCTTGTCGGTGTTGGCGTTGATAATTGAGCGGGCCTGGCGGACGCGTACAATTGAAAACAGAAGCAGGTGATAGGCATGTCAGCGGGTGGGCTGACGGACAAACTGTGGCAGGGCGCACTGAGTTTGGCAAACGAGCTGTTGCTAATGCAAAGCCACCCCTCGCCCATGTACATGGCCCCTTGCCGCCGTACCTCCTCCAGCATCCGTTGCTTGTCGAGCCTTCCGTTTATCGCTGTCCGCAGACTGCGCTGGAGCAGCTCGTGTAGCATGCTCCCAAGCAAGGCTGCCTCGCCACCAGCCCCGCTAGCGACTCGCTCCTGCAGCCAGGCCTGGCGCGAGCAGCGGATTGCCGTACAGATGGTTGTACCTGCAGCGGAAAAGCAGCGAGTTAAAAGCATATGTGCTCAGTCGCCGATCAGTGGTTAACCACAAATGTCGACACGTCACAAGAGCAGAGTAAGCGCACCTGACAGCAGCACGTCGGGATGCAGGACCAGGAGGCCTTGATTTCCGCTCACTTCGACGCTGGGGCAGGTCGGGTCAGCGACGAACCGACCACCAACGATGTTGACGGTGTCGCCCGGTTTCACCACCTGGTCCGCCCACATGTCCTTCAAGTAGACGCGCACCTCTGTGTTCTGCGGAAATCGCAACAGCAGGGGCTTCTGTGGTTACTGGTTTCATTGTGCAGCAGCAACGTTGTGGAAAACACAGGCCCAGCTTCCTGACATTGCAATAACGTCTCGAAGGACAGAGCCGCAGCTGTTTCCGAGCTGTTGGATACAGCTTCCATGTCCCGCTACCCCAAGTCGCTTCAAACCAATATCCGCAGGCCCATACCTGGCGTACCCACCTTGTACTCATTCGAGCAGAGCAGCTCGACATGATCCGTTCCGCGGGGGCAATGCACCTCCCGTACGACAAAGTGCACCTCCTCGCGGTCGCCAAGCAGCTTTGGGTCAGCTGCGGCCGCAGTGCTGCACTCGGCACGCTGCGGTGGCTCTTCCTTTGCATGGCGTGGGCGGTCAGGTTGCGAGGACGTCGGCTGCTGCGGGCGCTGCACTATCGCGGGCTGCTGCTGCTGACCTTGCGGATGGAGAGGTGGCCGCCCAGGGTTTGGTGCAGCACGGGACGGCGGTTGTTGGAGCGGCAACTTCGCGCCCAAGACTGGACCCTGGACACCAGTGGCAAAGCTGACGCCAGTGGCAGAGCTGACGCCGACGGGGCTCGCCTGCTTGCTAGTGGCGTTGGCAACCAGCGCGTCGATGTCAATATCCACGTCATTCCAAAAGTCGTCATCGTCCTCATCAGCGCTGGGCGCTGGTTGGGTTGGAGGCCTAAGTGTGATGGGCTCAGGACTCCCAGCGGCCGTCGCCCCAGCTGCAGAGCCGACACCACCAACTACTGTGGGCACGGTCTGCGATGCAGCGGATGGCGGCCCTGATGGGCCTAGTGTGGCCACCTCCACTGTTTTGAAGCTACCGCGCGCCGCTATATGCTTCTTGTCCTGCAGAGAAGGTGCTTGGCTTTGGGCGGGACAGGCCAGGGGCTGCGTCATGGGGTACGCTTTAGGTGTCTGAGTGGCTGCTCCTGGCGTGGCCGCTAGCGGAGCCCCATGGGCTGGGCGGGCGGCAGGTGGCAACATCGAGCGTCCGAAGCCCGCCGCTGACGAATTGTGCAGCGCTGGCACGCTGGCCGCGGCAGGCACGATTTGGGTAGCCATGGCGTTTTGGGTTGGAATCTGCATGTCCGCACGGGACCTCCCCAGTATTGGCTGGCTTGCCACTGAGCCAACATGCCCCGGCGCAGCCTCACTGGGAGGCCCAGGCGCAGACCCTCCATCGGCCTGCTGAGAATCGCAATTGACCGCTGAAGGACCGGGGTGCTTCACCATGAGCTCGACCTACAAGGAATCACGGGCTAATGGTTATTCCAAACATGGTGGGGACGGCAGGAAAACCACGTGCACAGGACCATAGCCTTAAGGCAGCTGAAACCCGACCCTCATGCCGCACCTGCTCTAGTAGGTCAAGCAATGCACGGCGCTTGTTGCCCGATCCAGCCTTGCTCCCGGATGTTACCAGGGCGCGTTTGCATCCCAGCGAGACCACAGAAGGCGTGGAGAGCGATGGCCTCCCGTAATCAGAACTGTTCTTGGCAATGCTGTTCCGAGCCAGTCTACTGAAGGGTTGTTGCACAAAAGGGTAGGGTTTGAGTCTCAGTGTACCATTTGCAATGTCAGCTTGCCAGCTGTGGGGCATGCTGGAAAGAGCACGCTCCGTGTCTCACCTTGCCGGCTTCGCTGCTGCAGGAGTCTTGTAGGTATCTGTGCCCGCCAAAACTTCCTGTAACACCTGGTCGTCAACATCCAGAGCGGAAGCGGCCGAAGACCTCGCGACCTGCCTGGCACCCAGCGCATGCTGCATTGGCGGTAACCCGCTTATGCGCCCGCTCATTGGTGGTTCGTTGGCGGGCTGGAATTGTGGCGCTGATGTCGATGCAGCCCTGCAACCCGCCCAGGCAACGTCAGGAGCACTTGAAAGAGCAAGCTGGACGGGCAGTGTGCTGGATTGGCCTTACCCCAACGCATGACAGCCCTAACTTACGCATGGCTGGTACGCCTTGCCAGCAGCTGCTCCAGCAGGTCGGCACCGCAGCCGGCAGGGGGGTCATGTTCAAGGCGCCCGTTATCCGATACGCGATGAATGGCGGGAGCAAGGCTTCTGCGAAGTCCGCCGTCCTTGCTGGCCTGCGAGTTCTCGGCATCCAGCTGGGACGCGCCGGGAGCTTCCTGTGATGGAGTGGCAACCTAAAGAAGGGGAAACCGAGAAGTTGCTCAACCACGATATGCTGAAGCCCGAATTGATGGCCATAGCTTGCAGAGCTGTCAAGACCGGGTGCTTCTGCATACCCACCTTCTGTGGTGAGTATGCTGCAGTAGGTGAGCTTGCCCAGACAACCTGCAGGCCCCCATCGTCCACGTCCTGGCTCAAGAGCACCTGCATGTAGACCATAATGTAACTAAGAACACGAAGCGATATACAAATACCTCATCACCCTTACGTTGTCAAGTAAGTGCTTGTCGGGTGTAGATGCTTGCCCCTTAGGTAGCCGGGCACCAGCGGCATGGCGACCATCTGAAGAGGCATTTTCAGTCGCGTTGTGTTAGTCGTTACATTGTTTTGCGACTTCTGTGCAACTTTTGTAACTGCGCTTTGCACCCATGCTAAAACGCACCTGGAGAAACTTCGGCTTGAGGTGCGCCTGGGCACTGCGTTTGCAAAGCAAGACCAATTACCCTCAGAGCACATTACGGGCTACCCCTTGAATTGTATGATGCTTGGGCTGCCTACCTGTGCAACTTTCCGCTCTAGGAAACGAGTAATGTCGAGTCCGGCTCTCGGTTTCTGAGCAGCTGCGAGCGGTTGCTTCTGCATTGCCAAGAAAGGGTGTGAGTACGTAGTAGAGAATGTTTAAGAGATAAGGGACCAGTTCGCTTCATACCTTGCCCATTTCTTTCTATCTTCGCGCGGAAACAGCTGGTACAGTTAAGACCGCCAAGGGCAGGCATTAAGTTACTAGGGTCACCCTATAGTTTAAATAGATAAAACTCTGCCGGTTTCCCCTAGTTTAGGGCCGAACACGCAAGAGTGCTCCTACCCCCGTCGGGAGTCTGAGGTCGTACAGGGCCTCCTTGGCGCGTGCTGCGCTCGCTGTGCTCAGAAGCGTGCTATGAAACATCTTAGAAAGAATGCAATTATTTATGCCACATATTTGTATCTAAGTGCAGCCCATTTGGTATCCACCTCGCAATCGACCCAGCACAAGGCTTAACATAAGTAATTGTCCTTAACCTTATGCAATGAAGTTATAATAACATGTAACCAAACATAGTGATTCAGATGTTAGTGTAGGCCTCCTAGTAGCTGAACACTCCGACGATAAAGCCGAAGCATTCCTTCGCGCTGCTCTCGGGTCAGATAGCAGCGGCGGTTATGAATCTGGGCATGGGAAAAACACCCTCGTTATTGTCTTAAAGAGTACTTTCCGAATGTGTGCTGACCTGAAATCACGATTCCGGACCCCCCTCTGGCACATGCCTCTAGCCCTACCCTTGAGCCCTCTCCAAGTGCATACCCGCTTTTTCCGTCGCGTGTAGCATCACAACCCGAATGAGTCTGGGCATGGGAAAAACACCCTCGTTATTGTCTTAAAGAGTACTTTCCGAATATGTGCTGACCTGAAATCACGATTCCGGACCCCCCTCCCGCACATGCCTCTAGCCCTACCCGTGAGCCCCCTCCAAGTGCATGCCCGCTTTTTCCGTCGCGTGTAGCATCACAACCCGAATGAGTCTGGGCATGGGAAAAACACCCTTGTTCTTTTTTTAAAGAGTATCTTTCCGGGCGGTGCAGCACCCAGCTCTCAGCTGCTGCCAGCACCTCGTGTGCAGAAGGGGCAGGAGACGCGCAACGAAGCCAGGGCCACGGCAAAACCCAGGGCATCAGGCAGCAGCCGAGCAGGACTTAGCAGCAACAGGGGCATACGCTGTGCCTGCATCCGACCCAGCCCCATCCTACTCATCAGAGGCATTCGTATTCAAGTCCTTCACTTCATGCGAGAATGTTTTGTCAGCAGCCATGCAGTTGGTGCCTGAAACTCAGAAACGCAAACTTAATCCGTGCCCAGTACACTCTGTTGTCTCCGTCCGTGCTGGAGTGTTCAGCAGCACTTGCCATATGTTTGCGGCACATAACGCCTGCGTGCACTCTGTTGCGGCAGACGTATACAAGCAGTGGCATGGTACCTCAACCCCAGCGTCCAACAGCTTGCAAGGCGAGGGTATGGAGCCAACAGAGACAGGGCTCCAGCCAAACAGCAGCTGAAAACAGGCCTGTGGAGAAGGTGGTTCGAGAGGTTGCCTCTCGCCTATCAGTTGATTCGCTCAAGGCTACCATACGCAGAGCATTCACAGCAGGCCAGAGGCCCCCCACGGAACGTATGTCAGCCACGCTTGCTGCTGGACGGAGGGAGGCTGAAGCCTTGCGGTTTCTTGTCGAGTCCTAAGACCGCTACAGAGGGCCGGCGGCTTTGCGTATGCCAGCTGCGTCTCCTGCTGCACCACCGCCGATGCCTCCCCATAGCAGTGAGGTGCCGGCTTTAGCTGGTATCGTTTCGACGCTGCTCGTGACCATCCACGCAGCACTATTGGGGGCTAGCAACCTATCAGCTGACGATGTAAAGGCAGTTGCTGAAACTATGTCTGCGTGGGCAGCTTGGGTTACCCAGCGCAGCGCTGCTGCTGCAGGAGGTGAAGCCCGCTACAGCAGCTGAGGGGCCAAGTGGTCAGGGAGCGGGCACAGCAGGGGCTAATGCGGCTCAAGACACAGCACAGCAGCAGGGTGTTACAGATGTAAATATGCATGAGGAGCTTGTTCCAGCTGACGCGGTACGCACGCAAGGTGTAAGTAACGAACGACGTACCCATGCTAAACGCGTGTATAGAAGGAACGCTGCAATTGGTGTCAAGCGGAGGCGTCAAGGGGATTCTAGTGATAGACAGGACGGGACTGACGGTGGTGTTGGGTATCTAAATACCTGCAGACGCGTTAGTCCTAGTACCGGCAAGGAAAGAGAAGGGAAAGGGAGGATCGTTGCCTATGGACATACGTGGCAAGCAGAAGAGGTCAGCACATATTGCTAGTATGCACAGATGCACAGATGTGAGACAGCAAGTATACAGGGCATCGCAAAGCCCTTAACAGCTTCATATTATCTATTAACTTCAGGACAACGTGGCACGAAACATACCTTGGGCGACTCAGGTCCTGTGGCTGCTGCTGCCGAAGAGCCGTCGCATCCACTGCTGCCATCGCCCTTCATATTCGCACTACCAACAAGACTTTAACGCCTGTGGCACAAGCCATAAATACCGTTATCATATTAGGACTAAAGAAGATAAACATATTAAGCTTGCTAGCAATTTTCTGTAGGATGACACAGCATTGCACAGAAGTCCATTACGCTTACATTTAAATGAATTTTGGAATTCCCAGAGTAAAAGGGTGATACCAATAACTTATTTGAGTTAAAAAATAGAGAATGGAAGCGCAGCACGCGCCCTGGAGGCCCTGTACGACCTCAGACTCCCGACGGGGGTAGGGGCGCTGTACCGCCGAACACCAAGTGCTAGCTGGAAGTGTACGGTCATGCTGGATCGACCGTACCAACGTTACTGGCAAGCAGGCAATCCATGGCATGCACAGCATTCAGTCGTGTGCTACAAGAGTTCAGTTCCTCCTTGCGCCGGTCCTAATCCTAGGCATTCTGCATTCCGTTTGTCTGAAGCCCCGTCACACGCTAGCGTACTCGCGAACAAGGCAAAGACACAACAACCAGTAGCTATACCACAATAGACTTGACTTTGCGTTACCTTTGGGATAGGCTGCAGCAGTGACAGAGATCGGTGTGGAATCATGGCACGGCTTTCGGTGCGCTTGCCCAAATAATGATCCGTGCATCTTTCGTGTAATATTATAATAGAGGTGTTATGCCTCTGCAGTTGGAAGAAATGCGGCCCTCGCCAATGCTAATCTGCACCCTGGTGTTGGTTAGCTACTTTTTCGTTACCGCTGGAGTAGCATATGACATCATCAACGAGCCCCCCGCCGTGGGTGCAATGCCGGACCCCAGGACAGGTGGATATGAAGCTGGGGTGCATCTGGAGCCTCCCACCGACGTAACCCGTGTCCATCTGCGTCGACCGCAGGTCACATGAAGCCCGTGACTTTCATGCCGTACCGGCTCAACGGCCAGTACATCTTGGAGGGAGTTAGCGGCGGCTTCTTCTATACGTTAGGAGGTGAGCCCATGCGCATACAAAGCAGGAGTACGCAACCTCCCGAGATTCTAACCGTGCACGCCTGCCGCAGGTGTGGGCATCATCCTGCTGGATCTTAGCCGGGATAAAAACAAGAGTACCCTCTTCCGGAACTTCTTCATGGCTTTGTAAGTCAACAGAGGCCCATGCGAGTTTTTTGCCCTCTGGAAAACACGTAACTTGCTGCATTGCAGGGGCTTCGCCGTGATGATACTCTCTTACATGGCCTGCATGACATTCATTCGGTGCGTCACCAGGGATGGGAATCAGGCGTATGTTTGCGCTGGGATTGCTCTTAAGACAATGCCTACACCCCCCTTGTGTAACATGCAAAGAGACAACCTATAGTTGCCCCTTACCCCTCACCGGACTCTTGGTAGCCTTCCGAGCATTGAACATGACATGAACGACCACGGTTAGACACCTAACAACAACCTAATCCGTCTTGGTAAACCGTCACACGTATATCCAATGGTTGTCGACCAAAGATATCATATTGTATGCACAAGGATTGACAGTTTCCCGTGCTGGGCATGCACCCACTACAAATCCTGATGAATATGTGGCTTGGTCGCCAGTCATGCAGAAGAGAAGCTCACACAAACCCCCTCGCTGCCTACGCTGTGTCCCGCTTACCCCACATGAATGGCCTTGGAAACTCCCCCCTTGCTCGCCATCCACCTGTACTGCCCTACTACCAGGATCAAGATGCCAAGCTACATGCGCGGATAGTTACTGGCTCGCTGGGGCTCAATGCGGCCCATCACATGGCCGTACAGTCCAAACCCTACGCTCCAGCTGCGTCGGTAACGCTCAATCCGACATGGACGCACGCGTTGTTTTGCGTTGTGGGCGAGTTGCCACTGTTGTCCAATACAAAGTTGTAATGCTACTTCCCAACCATGGACCCACTGCAACAATGTTTAGCATGCACTACGCGGCCCTGGCGCTACATCAAATGGTGCTTTTCCTTACCGAAACACGGAACCGGTACGACAGACATCCCCTCCCATGCAACCCCGTTAGTACCCACGTTGCAGCATGACAGCATCCAGCGCGCCTACGACGCACACATCGCGTCACAGATTTCTGCGATTAGCGCTAGGAGACCTCTTCAACGCACCCGCCATTTTCAGCGAGGCCGAGGGTCCCGCGCCGCCTTGTTCAGGCGTGTTGAGCATGCCGCCTAAGCTCCCCAGCGTGCGTGTCAGGCCCATGCGTCTTGCGCTGGTGCCGTCACCGCTCGTGAAGCTAGCTGCACCTCCGCCAGCAACCGTTCTTGCGGCGGCGGCTCCCGTCCCGGCAGCAGAGGTTGCCATACCCGGGGAGGAGGCCGCTAACCCTTTGCCCGCAGACAGCGGTCGCCGGCCAGCTCCTCCTCCTCCGGAGGGAGGCCTGGTCCTGCTGCCGTGGTGCCCGCCATGCTGGCTCGTGCCGGGTAGCCCCAGCGGGCCCCTGGGGCCGGATGCTGACACGGCCGGCATGGGCTCGCTGATGCTCCCCGCGCCCCCGGTGGTTTCATGCGTGCTGGCCGGCACGGGGTCAGCCACTGGGAACTTGAACTCTGTGATGCGGCTGCAGTACACGACGGTGCCCTTGTACGTCTGCACGCTCATGGACTTAAGGGGCGAGTCCAGGCCGCGGAAGCGCGCGGTCGTCTGCAAGGGTAAAAGGAAGGAAATGGGACAGGAATGGTGACCCCGCTGATGCCCTTACCAGCCCCCGCAATGACAAACGAGGGACCCCGATAGCGTGTATAATTGCGAAGACGTTACGGTATACCCACCGGTGTGTTGGGTGCCACCAGTGTCATCGCATCGTCATCCACCTCGTCGCCGTCACTGTCGCTGGAGGCCTCGTCGCTCAGGTGCGGCGGCTGCTCGGGTGCGGCGGCTGATGCGGGCTCAGTGCCGTCCAGCTCATGGCAGCCCGGCGAGGGCTCCGCACTCAGCTCGCACCCCGCCTCCCGCCCCGCCGGCGGGCTGCGCTGCGACTGCCGCGCTGCCAGCGGCGTGCTGCACCGCCCTGGCAGGCTGCTGCTCCGGGACAGGTTGCCGTTGCTGGCCCCGCTGAGGGAGCTAGGCGGCGGGGTTCGCCGGGCGGGGATGCCGGAAGAGGTGGCCATGGTCGGTGGACAGTGCCCGGCTATGCTGCTAATGATGGGGAGTGAGGCGTTCGACCGCCGTGCTGGCGAGGGTGCCGGCAGGCGGCGCCCTACGTGCGTACCCACGCCGCGGCCAAACGCCACGCTGGTGGTGCACGCGGGCGGGCTGTGAGCCACGACGCTGCTAGCAGGCGAGTCGTAGCCCGTGGAGCGGTGGCCTGCGGGAAGTCGCAAGGGACAGCAAGCCAGTTACGACACGTGCCATTCCATGTGAGGTTCACTACGTGCATGTGCAAGCAAGCATCTGGGTCCAGGGTGGCAAAGCTCGAGTGCCGGGGGTGCCAAGTCCGACGTTTGCTGGCACACAATACCACCGCCCCACCTGAACCCACCTAGTTGTTTTCCTCCTCCCCCAACCCACATCGGCCACTTACGTGTGAGGCCGCCGGAAGCCAGCGCCACCGACACCCGCAGCGACCCGGAGGACAGCATGCCGCGGAGCGTCTCCACAGCCGCATCGCTCATGGGGGGCAGGTGCGCGGCGCGGGTCTCGGGCGTGGCACGCAGTACCGTCAGGATCCAGCTGCGCACTCCCTCCAGGCTGCGGTGCTCGCAGTGCGGCAGGCGGCTCCAGGGGTTGGCTCCCTCCATGTCCAAACAGGCCACCAGGAATGCCCGCCCAACGGCCTGTACGACAAAGCGGTTCTCATTTTACGATGCCGCGTATGGAATGTCGTTATTCCGCTGCTACGGCCCGTTTGCCTAGGGTTCAGAAGACACAACCCCCACGGCCGCAGCAGCAGTGATGGGAGCACTTCACGCAGCACGAGGACGTGAGGGACACCGCATGGGACAGGATCCTGACCTGGAAGGAGCTGACAGTGAATCTGGCCGGGAAGCGCCTGTTGCAGGGCGGCGACGCACGCCCGCCGTGGTCACCAGTTGCGGGCGCTACCACATTCAGCGTCCGCGCAGTGTTATAGTTTGCTTCGATGGTATAAAGATGAGTCAAGCCAGTTTCCCTGTTCGACGTTGATGCACGTTTAGCAAACGGATATACCCTCAGGTTAGCGGAACAGTGTAACAATAACCCACCACAAAGCAGGCCGGAAAAGTCAGTCATCACACGTGGAGAACAAGGACCCTTCCCCACAATGTGCGGCTTGTGAGCATGACCCACCACAGCTCCCTGTCTTTCAGCACGCACCGCCCCCCCGGTGCAGCTCCCGCAGCCCCCACCTGTACAGCGCCACCCTGCCCGCGCCCTCCTTGGAGGAGCCGTCCTTGTCCGCGCGGCTCATGTTCTTCTCCGTGTAGTTGCAGCTCATGAAGTCGAAGACGGGGTTGTTGAGCGCCACCAACTTGGCGTACATGAGGCTCTGCAGGTGCGCCTCGCCGTCCTCCAGCGTGTTGCCGTAGATGAAGACGCCTGGGGGGGCATGTGCCGGTGGGGGGATGGGGCATGTGCCGGTGGGGGGAGAGGGCATGTGCCGGTGGGGGGAGGGGGCATGTGCTGGTGGGGGGAGGGGGCATGTAGGTGCACATACAGGTGCAGCCAACACCGTGATAGGCCCTACTTCCAGCCGTCGTTTACCCAGTAACCCCAAAGCGTGATTGCATGCTGGAGGCTTGGCAAACACCAGCAGCTGATCCTTCGCTCGGAGTGCTGCTTTGCAAGCGTAGGTAAGCACACATCCCTGTGTACTTGTGACGCCTTTTGGGCTGCATAGCGCAATCCGTTACAGCGACCCAACACCCTGCCCGACCTACCTTTCTTGTTGGCGTGTGCATGCAGGTCAATGTAGTACTCTAGAAGGTTCTGTTGCGCGTAGTACATGAGCAATCGCTTGATGCCGTACACGGTGGGCTGCGTCTTCTGCATGACCAGAAACAGCCAGGCAGGGAGGCACAACATTGACCCACGGGTCAATCGCTGCAAGTTGATCCTAGGTTAAGGTCCTACCGGGAGTAAGGGTCGCTGACTGCCGCGTGCTGCGTACAAAGGCTGACAGCAAAGGGGGAGTACCGGTATACGGTATTCTAGCTCACCACCATTCGCCCAACCAGCACGCCACCACCTCTCCCTCACCTCGTCCGGCACGCCATTGTAAAAGCGGTTGAGGTTCTGCCCCAGGGTATCCGTGCGGTAGTTGCCCACCGCCACACCGTCCGGGTTCACCAGCGGCACCAGCTTGAACACGAACCGCCGCCGCAGCGCAACGGCCCGTGGGTCGTTCCGCCGCAGCAGGAACGCCAGCATGCCGTTGAACATGTGCGTGGCGGGCGTCTCACCGGGGTGCACCCGGCTGGAGATGAAGAACACTGTCTTGTCGCGGAACAGCGCTGCGGGCGGTCCGGGGTCCTGCATGAACACACCTGCCAGGGGCGGCTCGCGCTCCCCCGTGGCGCCGCTGCAGTCGGTGATGGTGATGAGGTCCACCCGGCGGCCCTCCAGCGATCGGGTCAGCAGCTGCCGCCGGTAGTAGAGCCGTACGGAGGCCTCCCGGAGGGGGCTCGCGAAGCCGCAGGAGGAGGAGGCGGGCGCGTCGCTGCAGCCAGGCATGGTGCGGGAGGTGGGCTCCCCGTCCACGGATGCGGCGGTGTCGAGAAGGGGCAGCGACGCGCGCAGGCTGAAGTGCAGTGGGGTGCAGTCGGGGGCGGTGGCGGTAGCTGTGGACGGCGCGTTGCTGTTGGCTGCTGCTGGGGCTGCGGATGTGTCGCGGTCTGCTAGGGGCGGGGGTGCGCAGGGCAGGTTGCCGTACAGCGAGCAGGGCAGCTGCTCGTCCAGGTGGTTCAACATGTCCTGCGGGGGGTTGGGTCAGGGAGGGAGTGGGCGGTAGGGAGGGTTAGGGACAGCAGCACCGAGGGGTGTGGCAGCACTGCTTCACCCCTAAGCCGGAGTCTCTATACGCAGACCGTGCGCTTCTACCACACACCAACCAGAGCCTAACAACGAAGCCCCAGAAGCCGCCAGCCGCCCCCGTACAAGCCATGTGGCGCTGCACCTGCCTGTGTCTGCTGGTAGCTGAAGGGGATTGCGAAGGCGAACAGCGTCTCCTCGTCGCTCTCGAACCGGTGGCAGAAGCGCAGCTGGAAGTCCTCGCCCTCCCGCCGGTACGTCACCTTGAGCCTGAGCGAACGCAGGAGCGAGAATCGCGTCAGGATCCTTGGTCACAGCGCTAGCACACATGAAAACCTGGCTTGCTCCATGCGGGACTCCTGTCCTTGCCAAATGGGCGGCCGATTACCCCGTCACAATCCGTGCAGGGGCTGGCGCAGGGGCTGCTAACTGCTCATACCACCAAAAGCGCTGCACCAGCAATCGTAACCGTGCAGACTGTGCCATGCAGGGGCAACCCAGATGGGTTATTAATGACAGGACGCTTTGGGGCTATTTAGGACCAAGGGTTTCGGAGCTGGCAACAACAAGGCTGGTTCACGGCCGGCTTGATTTCCCTTTGGCCCCATGATTCCAAATCGAAGTTGCATGCGGAAGGCCAGTTATCAGCCTAGTGCAAGCACAGCGCATGGGAGGCACACAACACCCCTTTCGCCCACAGCCCGGAGCACCCTAGCATGCACCCATTCCTTTGCTCACCGCAGGGGCTGCCATTCTGCCTGCGAGGCGCTCCAGAACACTGGTCGATAGTCCTGAGAGTAAAGCCTGCTTTGCTTATTGAGGTTAAGGATGGTCAGGATGAGAAGCTCGTAGGTGTTGTGTCCGCATATGCTGAAGTAGAACCACGTGCGTGTGGCCTTTTCGTTTGTTGTACCCTCGCAGTCCCTCCGCGTTCGAAGGAAGAATTCGTTGGCGTTAACTCCCTGCTCCACACTATCCAAGTTGGCAGAATCAAAGTCGGCCCTGAACACGTACTTGCCAAGCTGCGGTAGCAAGTAATGAAATTATGCAACGCTTGTTGCAAAAGCTCTATACGCATATCGTGACATTAGACTATCCATGCCACACGCGGACAAAGACCTACCCGCCACACCGCATCTGCCTTAGAAGCTATAGGAGGCGGAAGTGTCGTCGGAAGAAGCACCGTCGCATCCTCCGGGTGCAGTCGATCGGATGAAGGTGACTTCTCCGCGGGGCCAGCGCTTGTACGCCGTGCCCCAAAAACTGTTGTCATAGAATTGAATCCATAAGGTTTCGTTAAACTTCGCTATAGGATCACGGCTTGGAAACTACTTAAAAGGGGCTGGGGTCTAACGGGCAGTGGCCGAAACGTCCAAGTGGCGAGCGGAATTCATGATGTTCACCAAGATATGCATAGATTGTTTCGTATCGCTTGTGGGACTAGCTCATTCTAGCTCGTACTGCCGTAGAAGTCCCGTGCTAGCACTCTTTTCCTAAGGCTATACCCTCGACAGCCGATCGGCGTGCGACAAGGCATACGCAACACAACTGTCAAATGCATATGCTGTTGATCCTTGACACAGCGGTATCAGCAAGCACGCCCTGGTATTAAAGCTGCAGTACAACTACATCCCGGGAATGATGCACACCCTTGCCATGCTGTGCCATCAGGCAAAAGCAAGGGTACACGCAAGTCCCAAAAGTCCTTCCAGAGTACACATGCCACATTAGCCACCGTAATTTGCGGCAAGGTTTACGCTAACCAGAGCAAGAAAGGAAATAATCAAACCCATCAAATTTTGGCAAACCAGAACTCACTGCTTAATCGCCGTCGTGCGATACACATGAAACATACATCCTCACGCCCGCTCTCTTGGGGTCTCTCAGCACAGCTACGCGTGCCGCACAGAATCGCAACACCCTAACCCAAGCTACCAGGTCCATGTAGCATTGCCTGCCTTCCATCGTGACCATCTCCGCACTCCAGCACCCCAACCGTCTGCGCGACAACCCCAATGCAAGCGGGATGTTTCCTATGAACATCTTCTGCGGATCAGAGATTACCAATCCTAAAATCTCCTTATCCCCGCGGCGCGGCTGGCACGCACGCCACGCAGGCCACCCTGCCGGGCGCTAAACCTCACGCATGCAAAATAACAGCCTTATTAACCAGCAATATAGATACAGTGAACCCCAGTCCGTGAAGGAGCTCCTAGCCATGTCACCTCGTGCTGGTCCAACCAACGCTGAGTAGCGTTCAACAAACATCGCCACTACCGTACGCACTCAATGCCCAGGCCAGCTGCCTAGGCTGACTCCCCGGAATGGGCAATACGTCTACTCGCACACGTGGCCCGTTTTCTCAACCCCGTCCCAAGCCCCTCATTTCCCCACTGCCACGTAGTTCGCCGCCACGGTGCAGCCCAGCAGCAGCACGGCGAAGGCCACTCGCACGTACCAGCGGTCCGGCAGGGCGGCAAGCGGGTCGGGTGCGTCCAGCGACAACCGGTCCCTGTGCACCGAGGGGGCGGTGGGGCGGGGTGGAGCGGGGTGGGGTTGGGACAGCAGCAGCAGTGGAGGGAGAACGGAAAGGGCTATAAAGGCGGCGAGCAAAGAAAGTGCATAACGGCGCTTTCGTACGGCGGATCGGGTGCTTTGTAAAAGGGCCCTAGCCTGAGGAGTGTGCAGCCATTGTTGAGGTGCCCCGTGTTTACAAATGCCACTGGATTGGCACGGTGACTTGGCACCCCCCGCTAGCCCATGCGGGTCGTCATGCGGCCTCACCAGTAGTTGTCCTGCTTGCTCGCGGAGCTGGCTGGTCGAGTGAACTTGGGGGCGTAGGAGGCCCGCCTGGGCGGGGGAGCACAGCAGGAGGAGGATGGAGGGTGAGCAGGAGGGAGGACAGCAGGAGGCGGATGGAGGCTGGACAGGGGCACTAGGTGCAAGTAAGGAGATGGATAGGAGCATGCGCCTGCTGCATGCATCACCAGTTCACCACGCAACGCATGTAGCCCCATACATATAGCAATATGGCTGAAAATGGCTGGCTTCCATTACAAGCGACCCCGCTGCGTGTTGGTCAGCCCAACCGCCGGAACCAGCACCTGGCCTTACAGTGAACACCACTGCTGCCTCCGCAGCCCCTGCTGCCCCCACCGCGACACCTCACTCTTTCTGGCGCCAGCTGTCGCTCTGTATGAGCGGGATTTTCACGCGCTCGTCCTCGCCGATCTCCAGCCGCGGTGCCTCCAGGATGAACCTCAGGTCCGCCGCTTGCTTCTTGACCTGCAAGGGTACAGGTAAGCCATGACAGCCAGTTCCTCAGACGACGAGGAAGAACCACTTCTAAAGTTACGGCTTACGGGCAACGTTCAAGCTGGGCCGACATGCGACCGGGGGCAGCGGGATCAACCAGTGTAGCCACATCTATGCCACTTGCCGGCATTCACGCTGCTCCTACCTTCTTAATTGGATGGTTGGCCTCCACCTCCTTGTACAGCGCAATGGCTTCCTTTTCCCTCCCGCAAGCCTGCCGGCGGGAACCAGCAGCAGCAGTGGCGGCAGGGGTGCGGGTAACCTCCCAGGCGCACATGCGCGCGGCGTATCGCTAACTGGGCGCCCACGGCTGCTAGTGCTCCCAGTCAGTGACGACCAAGGAATGGAACAACCCCGCGCTCATGCAGCCGGCACCCGCACCTTGAAGCTTTGCTGGACCCTGTACCCGCCACGCCCACCTCTGCCGGGCCCCGCCTTCCCCGCCCTGCCTCACCTGGTACGCCAGTCCCAGCCACAGCTGCGCCTCCCCTCCCAGCGCCGAGTCCCCCCCCGTGTCGCGCACAGCCTCCTCCAGCAGCTGTACGGCAGCCGGGTACTCGCCGCACTCGTACGCGCGCTTGCCCTGCTCCAGGTGCCGGGCCAGCCGCGCCTTGAGCGCCGCCTCCTCGGCAGCTAGCTCGGAGGCGCGCTGGGGAGGTGGGGGGGTGGGTCAGGTTTGCTGGGTTGGGCGCGTTGCGGCATGCCTTCCAACAGCTGCTGGCTTCTCCCTCACTCTTTCCACTCCCCGCCCTGCTGCCTGCTGTCGTACCTGCGCCAGCTTCTGCTTGACCTTGTCCTTGTAGGCCCGCTGCGTGTCCGTCAGCTCCGCCAGACTGCCCACCCCCAGCTCCAGCGCCAGCAGCTCGTCCTCGTCAAGACCCTGGTCCAAACCTGTGCAAGCAGGCAGGCAGGCGGAGCACCGCTTGGTGAGGGCAAGTGATGATGAACTAATGATGGTACACGAGAGCTGGGCGGCCATGGGCCCTGCAGCAACGAAGGCACCTGGCGATGCTTGTAGCATGGCTGGAGTGCGGATTCACATGAAGACAGCTCCACATGGCGGGTAGGACTTGCAGGATACGCACGACAGTCCCCAGCTACAGCGGCAAGCTGGTGGCGGTAGGGAAACCCATTCCTACAACCCCGCATTATCGCATCCAGTTCACTACGGATGTTCAGAAACGGTTTGCGCTTTACAGACAAGGGTTGCACCTTCACCTACTCTAGCACGGAAACAACGATGAACACCCCATCTTTGTGCAACAGCCACGCACCAAGCCGATATCTCCGTGCCGCCTTGTCGAGGGCATCGCGGTTAGCATATTTGCTGAAGTCAGGAACAAAACCTGGATTTCGGCCTCCGGAGGGTGCTGCGCGGCGCAGAACGCAAGGTCTCTGGCGAGCATGCACTGAGTAACGACCTTCAAGCCTGATACCGCACGCATGGTTGTCGCCGATAAAACATCGTGCTGGATGCCCCATGGACGATTTACGTTCAGTTCATTCAAAGGGCAGATCCTGGGTGGGTTAAGTGGTAGCCTAGGGCCCTCCAAAGCTAAGCTGTGTTGGCCAACACTTGCATCGGTAAGTGGTGCTAACAAAAACGATAAGCAAGAAACGTATGGGTGGGTGTTGGAGAGCAGGGATTCCAGGGAACTAGGATAGCGGGTTGCCTCACACGTTTCGGAGCGAAGCGGAGATCAGTATACTACGAGCTTTACGTTGACCTAAGGAAATGAATGAACATGAAAAGGCGTTGACTACCTTTGAAAAGAAGTATTGTCCAATGTCGGTTCAATTCCGTACGACATTGAGGTATATAATCACCGAGCGCCCCTTCAGGACCCTTCTTGCACACCCTTTGCATTACACCTCACCTTACAGCAGAAATGAGCAGCGCAACAGCCCTCTTCGAGCCCCTGCGCTCGTGGCTCTCGTCCGAGAGCCTGCAGTCGTTCGTCAGCGCCCACCACCACGAGATTATTGCTCTGCAGAAGGATGCTCCCGTGGGCTCTGCTCTGCAGGTATGCTCGTTTGCTAGGGATAGCCCAGCATGTCTGGCGGCGGCTCGGTACGCGGGCGCCTTTGCCTAGCCGCGCATATTATAGGACAGACGACAATAGTCGGATCCCCATTTAGTTCGGACGACATTGTTACGGATCCGGTCGGCCGTTGGTCTCCGCGCGAGCTCACCGATCTGTGCTGAATGTTTATAGTGCACTTGACCTAGGCATGTTAGGTTTAGTTGCTGACTAGCAACAGTGTCAAAACGGCATACAGTTTCCGCAGGCTCTACATGTGTCGGAAGTTTTCCAGGTCCTGCTTCCCTCAGCACTTAGTACCACCCCCTCCCTGCTCCCTTCCCAGGTTCTGGGCGAGAAGCGCGTGCTGAGCGTGCCCGTGCTGGATGAGGAGGGCGAGTACCTGGGCGCCTTCAGCGTCGGCGATGGCATGCGTGTGCTCATGCAGGGTAGGTGACATCGCAGGGTGGGGAGAACCGGCAGTTGTCTTCCACGCTTGCACGCAGACGCATTTCACAGCCCGCTTCATAAGCGCATGCCATGTGGGTCCATTCCGCATGCGGCACACGTGGGCTTAAATCCCCTGCTCTGACCTTGCTGCTGCTGCTGCTGCTGCCCCCTTGTGTTGCCCTGCCCTGCCCTGCAGAGCTGGATGCCCAGCTGGGCAAGTCCTGGTTCGACCGCCTGGGCCAGCTGACCGCCGCCGAGCTGCAGGCGGTGGGCGCCTCCATGTGCGCCAAGAAGGTCTCCAACGTCACCCACCGTGAGTGGATTCCGGGGTCGGGGTTGGGGGGCGGATGCGGGTTCTGACCTGGGGGACAGCAGAGCTGCCCGGCTTGCCGCTCCCATTGCTGCCCTCCAGTAATCAGGCTTGCACCGTATCTGTGGGTGCACGCAGCGCAATGACGCTTCCTTGCCCGTATCGTCCTCTGACGTGGGTCGCTGCCTGTCCGCCTCTCCCTCTCCTCCCCCCGCAGCCGGTGACCTGTGGCTGAAGGGCGACTCCAAGACCACTGTGCTGACCGTCATCAAGGAGGGCTTCCAGGTGCTGGAGAGCAAGGTAGGTGGAGCAAAACAGCAAATGAAAAGTCCAGCAATAGAGTCCCAAGGGAGGCCAGGCATGTGTCCGGGGGGCCTTACTCGCCTCTGCCGCGGCCGCTTCCCTCGCCTTCCCTCACTTCCCCTCCCCCCTCTCCCCCCTGCAGGGCCACCACCGGATTTATGTGGTCGACCCCGCCAAGGCGCACTCCATCACCGTGTCCGGCTCCACCGTCGTCATCAACATCAAGGTGGGGCAGTGCGCGTGCGTGTGTGGCATGGGGTGGGGGAGTGCACAGCCCGGGAGATGGTGGGCTGGGGTGGCACGTGGCAGCTAACCCGCTTGCGGGGGGGCGGAATCCACTCAGCTCGGCAGGCTATGAGGCTTGCGGGCAGCTGGAATAGACCCATTTTGCCCTTCGAACCTCTTTGCGCGTTGTGCCTTCCTGCCCCTAACCCACCCGCTCCTCCTGCCCCACCCACCTCCGCAGCCCGGCAGCGCCAAGCCCGAGGCCAGCGGCCTGCGCCCCACCGACATCGTGTCCCAGCTGGACGTCGTGAAGCTGCTGAGCGAGCACAAGGACAAGCTGGAGCTGGTGCAGGACAAGACGCTGGAGGAGCTGGAGATCTTCACGGTGAGATGGGGAGGAGGGAGAGGGGGGGATAAAGGGGCGGCAAATGACGAGCCGTATGAAGGGGCTTAAGGATCATGTGGTGCAAACATAGCAGCCGGCCCATCCGACGGCTCCCCCGGGGCTCTATCATCTCGATCCACGCATGCGGCCTCTTAGCCCTCCTGCCCTCCTGCCTCACTTCTCGTACCTTCCTCTCCCCTCCCCCCTGTTCCCCTCCCCCCCAGGGCTCCGTGTTCACCATCCACGCCTCCGCCCCCGCCCTGGAGGCCTTCCGCTACATGGCTGTGGACCACAAGTCCTGCCTGGGCATCGTGGACAACACCGGCAAGCTGATCGGCAACGTGTCGGTGGGCGACCTGCGCTTCCTGCGCGCGCAGAACTACGGGCTGCTGCTGTCGCCCGTGGCGGAGTTTGTGGCCACCGTGTGGGGCAAGGGCCCCTCGCAGGAGGAGGTGCTGGCGGGCACCCGCGTGCCGGTGAGGCGGCTGGGGGGGAGGGAGAGGGCTGGTGCAGGTATAGGGCTGGGGGATGGCTGTAGGGTGCTGGGTGACGGGGCACTGCTGTCGATTCCGTTGATCTGGGTCGCTTAATTAACCACTACCTCATCGTCCTCCTGTCCTCCTCCCCCCCTCCCTTGACTCCAGGGCGCCGCCGAGGGCCGCTGGGCTGACGTGCTCAAGGAGACCGCCCTCACCACCCTCAAGCCCAGCAGCACCTTCGGCGCGCTGCTTGAGCTGATGGCCTCGCAGAACCTGCACCGCATCTACATCGTGGACGAGGACGGCAAGCCCGTCTCCATCGTCACCCTCACCGACGTGCTGCGCGAGGTGATCAAGCCCGAGCCGCCCGTGCACCGCTTCCAGCGCATGGGCACCAACGACCTGCCGGAGGAGGACGAGGATGAGGAGGACGACGATGATGAGGATGATGAGGAGGACGAGGAGGAGGAGAAGGCCGAGGAGGCCAAGTAAGCGGGTGCGGAGGCAGGTTGCTTGACGTGCGTGCTCTGGCGGCAGCGCCGAGGTGGTTGGAGGCCGCTGTGGGGGCTATGTTTAGCTGCGTGTGTGACATGCGGTGGTGGGTGGCCGCGGCGTGCTGTGGTTGGGCGTTTGGTGGGTACTGTTGAGGGAAGAGTTGCTCTCCCCCCGTGCGTATTGATGTATGGTGTGGCATCGAGCGCGTGAGGGGAGCGAGGCGGATGTAATCTGAAGTGTGACGGGCGCAGGTGGATTAAGAACCAAAAAAATGTTCGCAATTTGTTTTTGGTGCGTGGCTAAGGTATTTTTTGCGGGAGGCTGCGAAAGCATTGGACACTTTGCGGGCGATTTTCGAGGTGGTTAATGGGTAAAAGCTTATTTGCCTTTCCCGAAGGCCGGAAAGGCCATGTCGACCCAACTGCTGCGGTGCTGCCGTTCAACGTCGGCGCACAGCCGCAGAGAGCAGGTGTTTCTTGCGCGCTCGTATCCCGAGTAGGCCATCTATTCTTTTCATGGCAGTTGATGGTGCATGTGGCATCGTTGGCAGCTTCGGTTCCGTCGCCACATGGGCGTCGGAAAGAGGCAAGCAGCTAAGCACACGAAAGAATAACCAATAAAGAGCACGATCATCATGTCTGCAACATGTAAGAAGGCACCAATGTCGCTGACCCGTTATTCACGTCGGGTATCACAGCAGCACCGCACATGCCACAAGGTGAACGCAGAACGGTGTACGGATTCAAATCACAGCGCGACATCTAATAAGGATCTGCACGCCATGGGTAATCGCCAAGCTCAGCTGGTTCAGGCGAACAACAAGGACGAAGGGCAAACGATGGTGGGTCCGCTGGTGCAGGGGCTCTTTTGTACGGCGCTCCTTGCCTTAGTAAGAAGCCATAAGGCTAGCAAGCGGGCACTGTCCAAGCATTCGCACATAGTATTACCTCGGGTTGACGCGCACACGTTCGATGATTCTATCGCTTTCGTGATGAGGTGTCTGTCAGTTCTTCAGCGCTAGTGTCGCGACATCAACACTGCCAAGCCTTCAACTAGTTCAAAGAATTAACAAAATAACAATGCACCCTTCTCAGCGTTAGCGACTTATACTCTGTCCTAAGATGACGCTGCTATAGCGGCCAACCGCCGGACCAACAGTCTAACAAGATGCGGCCGGCCGCTGCGGGGGCTTGCGTGGCCGCGGCTGCCGGGTACGCGGCATCTGTAGCGGCCGTCCGCGTGCGGAGACAGCTGCGCGGCGGGACGCTGGTGGCCCTGGCGGCCGGCGGCAACGGAAGCCACGTGTTCCCCGCACTGGCGATTGCTCAGGACCTGCAACGCAGCGGCGTGCAGGTGCATGCTAGGGGACAACAAAAGGGTTTAAACTCCCATGCAAATGCCGTGTGAAGCTACGGACTAAAAGGTCCGGCCTTCCACGCGAATGCCCTGGAGTGAACCTCCCCATGTGACGCATGCCCTGGAGTCCAGACGTCTTGCCGTGACCGGCATCGCGTGGCCACAGTCTCCTCCAACCCCCCCCACACAAGCCTCGCACCTCCTCCCCCACCCGCCCCCAGGTGGTGCTGCTGGGCGAGGGACCGCCCAGTCTGGAGTCCGAGGTGGCGCAGCAGTCCGGCCTGCCGCTGCTGGCAACCCCCTCCGTGCAGCTGCGGCCGCCCCTCAGGAGCGCGGCGAACCTAGCCAGCGTACTCAGGTACCGGGTCAGGGCAGGGCTGTGCCGGAGGGGTGTGGGGTGGGCCTTGCTGGAGGGGTGCGAGCTGGACCTTGTCGAAGGGGTGGGAGGGCCGCTCAGCTGCCGACTGGAGAGCCCCGGCAGCCAAGGATGCCTGCACACCCTGTCCGTCCTTGTCCCGCCGTCCTTGCCCCGTCGACCTCCCGCCCCCACCATTACCCCCCCCATATGGGATTGGGACTCGTTGTTTCACATATTTAATTGTTTCCCCCCATCCCACCCGCGGGGGTCGCAGGTTCCCGCTGTGTGTTGCGTGCAGTGCCTGGGCGCTGCTGCGGTGCGCCCCGGACGTGCTGGTGGGCACCGGGGGGCGGGTGGAGGTGCCGGCATGCCTGGCCGCAGCGGCACTGGTGGGTGGGGGGCTGGGCTTGCAGGAGGGTGGAGGGCTGCGGAGGAATGCGGATTCTGTAGTGCTGGAGCGGGGAGGGGACCGGTGCACCGGAGGAGGGTGCGCAAGGAGATCCTTTGTGGCGTGCGTGCGCACGTGCGTGCGACCGAGCTCATGCACCTTGAACTGTTACTTGCCATGCGTCCGCTGGGGATCTGGGCGACAGGTATGCGGTCCCCGCATGCGGCACGTGGAGTCTGCCGTACGGCATGTGTTTTGCCACCGCACCCCCCTGCCTCCTTCCCCGGTCGCAGGGCATACCTCTGTTGCTATACGAGCCGAACGCCAAGCCCGGCGCCGCCAACCGGGCCCTACACTGGCTGGCTTGCCGTACCCTGTTGGCGTACGGCAGTGCGGCGGGGGAGCTGCGGTTCAAGGAGAGGTGCGGTGGCGGGCGGGGTGGGCCGCCGCTGTGGGGCAGGGTGGGATTCAAGAAACATGAACGCAACATTAAAATTCGTGTTTACCGGTGAACTGTGCGTCTAATCCCAGTAGCAGTCCGCGATGAGTCCACCAACCCGCCCAGTTCCCCTCCTCTCCCCCCGCATGCATCTGCCCGCAGGTGTCAGGTGGTGGGGCCAGCAGTCCGGTCCGAGGTGCTTGCCTACGCCCCTCCCTGCGACGGCGGCACAGCAGCCCAACAGCAGCAGCAGCAGGAGCAATGCCGGCGGCGGCAGCGCTGCCGGGCTCGCAAGTCCCTGGGTCTGCCCGCCGGCCGGGGCGCTCGAGTGCTGCTGGTGCTGGGCGGCTGGCGCGGCTGCGGCTACCTCAACTGCGCGCTCAACAACGCACTGCCGCAGCTGGCAGGCGTGCCAGGTGGGCCGGGGACCCCGCCTGGTGCTGTCAGGGCTCCCAGGGCTCCCTGGGTGGAGGGGTGCAGGGGTGGGGTGCAGGTTTTTGGGGAGAACTGTCGTCTTCAGTTGCTCCCAGGTGCGGGTGCCATGTGCACTACCGTTCGGTCTGTAGCGCCTGGAGCATGCATTGCAGCAGCACAGAATGAGGGCTGTAACAACGCTCCCCTGGCGCCCCCCCCTTTTCCCTCGCTGCCGCAGGTTTGTTCGTGCTGTGGCACACGGGTGCAAAGCAGCACCGGGCCTACGCGGAGGGCTACGCGGCCAGCCTACCAAAGTAAGAACGAGCTGTGTAGGGGGCGGCCGAGAGGGAGACTGCATGCATGTGTTTTGCATCGTGAGGGTTACGTCGCGGTGACGTCATGACTCAGCATCCGGCGGAGTGCGGCCGCCAGCCAGCCGCCGTTGCAGATGCGACACAACGTTGAGCCCTTGCCGAATCCCTGTGTTGTTTCCCTCCTTACCCCTCCCTCCCCTCTCCTGCCCCCCACATGAGTCGGGATATGGGATTGGGACTCGTTGCTGCACTTATCATTTTCCCCCCTCTCCTGCCCCCCCGTGCAACAGTGTCCGCTGCGTGCCCCACCTGCCCGACATGGGTGCCGCCCTCGCATCCGCGGACCTGGTGCTCAGTCGCGCGGGGGCGGCCACGGTGGCGGAGCTGGCGGCCTGTCGCACCCGCGCGCTGCTGATGCCCTCGCCGGCAACATGCGAGCAGCAGCAGGAGGCGAATGCCAGGGTGCTGGAGGAGAGGGGTGGGTGGGCGCGTAGAGGGGCTGGTCGGGAGGTGGTTGGCAACAGCGGGGGGTGTGGGGAAGACTACCGGTGGGTTGCGGGAGGGAGGGTTGTGTGGCGGCATGCTTTCACGGGTGCAGGTGTCTCGCTCGTGCCCCTTAACTACTATAGCGGCATGCTTGCATGGGCATAGCACTGCGTGCTGTGGCCCAACCGCCGCAGGTCTGGCGGAGGTTGTACGGCAGGTGGATGTGGACGAGTACGGCATCGCACCCCGGCTGCTGCCGCTGCTGCTGGCGCCGGAGGGAGGGAGGAGGAGCCCTGCGGCGGGTCCGCTGCGTGCCCCGGCAGCTGGGGCGGCTGCAGGATGGGAGGGGGGCGGGCTGGGGGGAAGGTCAGCAGCTGCGGATGTCGGCGATGCGTTCTTGGGAGGCCCAGTTGGGAGCCGGCGGAGGAATGCAGCGGGTGCGAGGGAAGGGCGTGGTTTCGGGCTCCGAAACATGGCTTGTATACGGCAGGCGATATTAGGGCATGAATGAATGACCGTTACAAGGGCATGTCCGGCGGAGATAGCAGCACTAAAAGCTTTAGACAAGACGATCGGTGTGTGAAGCTGAGCAGTATGCCTGGCAAAGGGGCCAGGAGGAAACGGCATCCCGGCGGGTATGGTGCGAGCGTGAGCGGTTGAGTGCTGCTGGCAGGGAGTGCACCGGGTCTTTGCGTGAGAGAGGTGCCGGTCGTGCTGGTTACGCCGCGGAAAGAAGCACCTCATGTAGCGCTTACCGGGTAGCAAGGACCGCTAGGCTCTTAGCATGTCACAATACCGGTGCCGCCTAGGAGCAACAGGTTGTCGCTTCAGGCCAAGCCTACTACATAACTCTGACACTATGTACCGTATCGTCTATATGCAGTATGCAATGCTTGTGGAAGCTCGTGGAGGTATTATTTAGTATGCCTACTTGCTTCCCCGTTCAAGCAAGTATCCCGACCGGACCGGCTGATGCCAAGCAAATATGCCTAACTCGACCCGGCAGCCGCCGACCTAGCACCCACCGACCTAGCACCCGCCGACCTAGCACCCGCCGACCCGGCACCCACCGACCTAGCGCCCGCCGACCTAGCACCCGCCGACCCAGCACCCACCGACCTAGCGCCCGCCGACCTGGCACCCGCCGACCTAGCACCCGCCGACCTGGCACCCGCCGACCTAGCACCCGCCGACCTAGCACCCGCCGACCTAGCACCCGCCGACCTGGAACCCACCGACTTAGCATCCTCCGACCTGGCACCCGCCGACCTGGCACCCGCCGACCTAGCACCCGCCGACCTAGCACCCACCGACCTAGCGCCCGCCGACCTAGCACCCGCCGACCTAGCACCCGCCGACCTAGCGCCCGCCGACCTAGCACCCGCCGACCTAGCACCCGCCGACCCGGCCTCCGCCGACCTGGCACCCGCCGACCTGGCTCCCGCCGACCCGGCACCCGCCGACCTAGCACCCGCCGACCTAGCAACCTCCGACCTGGCACCCGCCGACCTGGCGCCCGCCGACCCGGCACCCACCGACCTAGCGCCCGCCGACCTAGCACCCGCTTACCTAGCACCCACCGACCTAGCACCCGCCGACCCGGCACCCGCCGACCTAGCACCCGCCGACCTAGCACCCACCGACCTAGCACCCGCCGACCTGGCACCCGCCGACCCGGCACCCGCCGACCCGGCACCCGCCGACCCGGCACCCGCCGACCTAGCACCCGCCGACCTGGCACCCGCCGACCCGGCACCCACCGACCTAGCACCCGCCGACCTAGCACCCGCCGACCTAGCACCCTCCGACCTGGCACCCGCCGACCTGGCACCCGCCGACCTAGCACCCTCCGACCCGGCACCCGCCGACCTAACACCCGCCGACCTAGCACCCACCGACCTAGCACCCGCCGACCTGGCACCCGCCGACCTAGCACCCTTCGATCTAGCACCCGCCGACCTATCACCCGCCGACCTAGCACCTGCCGACCTAGCACCCGCCGAGCTAACCCCGTCGACCTCGCACCCACCAACCTAGCGACCGCCGACCTAGCACCCGCCGACCTAGCACCCGCCGACCTAGCACCCACCGACCTAGCACCCGCCGACCTAGCATTTAGCATCCCACCGACCTAGCACCCGCCAACCTAGCACCCGCCAACCTAGCACCCGCCGACCTGGCACCCGCCGACCTATCTACCGCCGACCTAGCACCCGCCGACCTAGCCCCCACCGACCTAGCACCCGCCGACCTGGCCCCCGCCGACCTGGCACCCGCCGACCAAGCACCCGCCAGCCTAGCACCCGCCGACCTAGCACCCTCCGACCTGGCACCCGCCGACCTAGCTACCGCCGACCTAGCCCCCGCCGACCTTGCACCCGCCGACCTAGCACCCGCCGACCTGGCCCCCGCCGACCTGGCACCCGCCGACCAAGCACCCGCCGACCTAGCACCCGCCGACCTAGCACCCTCCGACCTGGCACCCGCCGACCTGGCACCCGCCGACCTAGCACCCTGCGACCCGGCACCCGCCGACCTAACACCCGCCGACCTAGCACCCACCGACCTAGCACCCGCCGACCTAGCACCCGCCGAACTAGCCCCGGCGACCTCGCACCCACCAACCTAGCACCCGCCGACCTAGCATCTAGCATCCCACCGACCTAGCACCCGCCGACCTAACAACCGCCGACCTAACACCCGCCGACCTAGCACCCACCGACCTAGCACCCGCCGACCTGGCACCCGCCGACCTAGCACCCTTCGATCTAGCACCCGCCGACCTATCACCCGCCGACCTAGCACCTGCCGACCTAGCACCCGCCGAGCTAACCCCGTCGACCTCGCACCCACCAACCTAGCACCCGCCGACCTAGCACCCGCCGACCTAGCACCCGCCGACCTAGCACCCACCGACCTAGCACCCGCCGACCTAGCATTTAGCATCCCACCGACCTAGCACCCGCCAACCTAGCACCCGCCAACCTAGCACCCGCCGACCTGGCACCCGCCGACCTATCTACCGCCGACCTAGCACCCGCCGACCTAGCCCCCACCGACCTAGCACCCGCCGACCTGGCCCCCGCCGACCTGGCACCCGCCGACCAAGCACCCGCCAGCCTAGCACCCGCCGACCTAGCACCCTCCGACCTGGCACCCGCCGACCTAGCTACCGCCGACCTAGCCCCCGCCGACCTTGCACCCGCCGACCTGGCCCCCGCCGACCTGGCACCCGCCGACCTAGCTCCCGCCGACCAAGCACCCGCCGACCTAGCACCCGCCGACCTAGCACCCTCCGACCTGGCACCCGCCGACCTGGCACCCGCCGACCTAGCACCCTGCGACCCGGCACCCGCCGACCTAACACCCGCCGACCTAGCACCCACCGACCTAGCACCCGCCGACCTAGCACCCGCCGAACTAGCCCCGGCGACCTCGCACCCGCCGACCTATCACCCGCCGACCTAGCATCTAGCATCCCACCGACCTAGCACCCGCCGAGCTAGCACCCGTCGACCTCGCACCCACCGACCTAGCACCCGCCGACCAAGCACCCGCCGACCTAGCACCCGCCGACCTAGCACCCACCGACCTAGCACCCGCCGACCTACCACCCGCCGACCTAGCACCCACCGACCTAGCACCCGCCGACCTAGCACCCGCCGAACTAGCCCCGGCGACCTCGCACCCACCAACCTAGCACCCGCCGACCTAGCATCTAGCATCCCACCGACCTAGCAACCACCGACCTAGCACCCACCGACCTAGCACCCGCCGACCTGGCACCCGCCGACCTAGCACCCTTCGACCAAGCACCCGCCGACCTAGCACCCGCCGACCTAGCACCTGCCGACCTAGCACCCGCCGAGCTAGCACCCGTCGACCTCGCACCCACCAACCTAGCACCCGCCGACCTAGCACCCACCGACCTAGCACCCGCCGACCTAGCACCCGCCGACCTAGCACCCGCCGACCTAGCACCCGCCGACCTAGCTCCCACCGACCTAGCACCCACCGACCCAGAAGCCGCCGACCTAGCATTTAGCTTCCCACCGATTTAGCACCCGCTGACCTAGCACGCGCCGACCTAGCACCCACCGACATAGCACCCGTCGACCTAACACCCGCCGACCTAGCACCCGCCGACCTAGCACCCGCCAACCTAACACCCGCCGACCTAGCACCCACCGACCTAGCACCCGTAAACACAGCACCCGCCAACCTAGCACCCACCGACCTAGCACCCACCGACCTAGCACCCACCGACCTAGCACCCGCCGGCCTAGCATTTAGCATCCCACCGACCTAGCAACCACCGACCTAGCACCCACCGACCTAGCACCCGCCGACCTAGCACCAGCCGACCTGGCACCCGCCGACCTGGCACCCGCCGACCTGGCACCCGCCGACCTGGCACCCGCCGACCTAGCACCCGCCGACCTGGCTCCCGCCGACCTGGCACCCGCCGACCTGGCACCCACCGACCTAGCACCCACCGACCTAGCACCCACCGACCTAGCACCCGCCGGCCTAGCATTTAGCATCCCACCGACCTAGCACCCGCCGACCTAGCACCCACCGACCTAGCACCCACCGACCTAGCACCCGCCGACCTAGCACCCGCCGACCTAGCACCCGCCGTTTAGCACCCGCCGACCTAGCACCCGCCAATCTAACACTCGCCGACCTGACACCCGCCGACCTAGCTACCGCCGACCTAGCACCCGCCGACCTAGCCCCCGCCGACCTAGCACCCGCCGACCTGGCCCCTGCCGACCTGGCACCCGCCAACCAAGCACCCGCCGACCTAGCACCCGCCGACCTAGCACCCGCCGACCTAGCACCCGCCGACCTAGCACCCACCGACCTAGCACCCACCGACTTAGCACCCACCGACCTAGCAACCACCGACCTAGCACCCACCGACCTAGCACCCACCGACCTGGCACCCGCCGACCCGGCACCCGCCGACCCGGCACCCGCCGACCCGGCACCCGCCGACCTAGCACCCGCCGACCTGGCACCCGCCGACCCGGCACCCACCGACCTAGCACCCGCCGACCTAGCACCCGCCGACCTAGCACCCTCCGACCTGGCACCCGCCGACCTGGCACCCGCCGACCTAGCACCCTCCGACCCGGCACCCGCCGACCTAACACCCGCCGACCTAGCACCCACCGACCTAGCACCCGCCGACCTGGCACCCGCCGACCTAGCACCCTTCGATCTAGCACCCGCCGACCTATCACCCGCCGACCTAGCACCTGCCGACCTAGCACCCGCCGAG